TAGTATCTGAATTGGTTTGGTGAGCGAAATTCACACGATGATATGTATCAAAAATACTGTATACGGTATGGGGACATACGAGTATGTACACTGTGACTGCAAGGAAGCGCCATTCTTTTTTAATGTAACCTAACATTCACTTTTGAGATGGGGGATTATGGACCCGGAAGCGAAACATGACGCTGGCAATAAGGGAAACAGCCATACGAAACAGTTTACTGTCTGCTATATAATGTGCTATAGATGGTGTTTCAGTGTAACAATAACCTCGTGAAAACGATGACAGTTGTCCTTTCATATGAGTAATGTTCCGCACTTTTCGAGGACGATGGTTGATGTTGTACAGGCTTGAAGCAGACTGGAGCTGACTAGTCTACCATTGATGAGTATGGGCGAGAGTTTCTAGCTAGAAGCACCGAATTGACATGTCCTTTTCCAATTCCTATTCCAGACTACCCTGGATAACGACCTGCTCTTAGAAACTGTGTTGCCTGCTGCGATGATGTATTGGTTATGGCACCAGGCTGCTGACCCGAAAACCACGGGATTGAATCCTAGCCCGGGCAGCCGCAATTCGGTGGAGGTGAGATGCTGAAGACCCGTGTATTTTTATTTATTTAAAGTTCCCCAGAAGGCCAAAATTTTCACAGCTCCTCTTAAGGCATCTCTAATTATCATACCGGGCTTTTAGGAAGTGATATCCTAACAATTACTATCGTAATGTCGTTGTTTTGGCCGACGCACAGCCCTATTTGAGTTTCTATATACATTTTCTGGCGCAATCTTTGCCTCCACACATTTTTCGCCGTATGCGCTTTGCATTAAATGCTACAGCTATATAAGCAAAGCCATGTGTGGGATTTATATAATAACCACTGACGCATCAGGTACTACGTTTTTATTATTATTTTTCAGGAACTGGTTGGGCTGTCTGTTGTCTCTGTATTGCAATCAATTAAGCGACGAAGGTCTTGTGGGTCATTCTTAGATGAAATATCAATGATGTTTCAGCTGGATGTTCGTGAGCGAATATCTCAAAGACATTTCGCACAGTCTGGATACCCTTTAACAGCTTGCCTGTCACAACTTGAATTAAATCGCACAATAGCAACATTTACGCTGCAGGGCAACCGGCGCCAAGTACTTGCCGTGTTGCTGCGCACTGTGTGCTCTACTACGCTCTCAGAGATTGCCTGACTTCTCGGGGGCACAATACAACTGTGACTGTTGGCGTGTCGCTTTCGTTTGTAAGGGCATCAGAAGAGTCAATAGAACTCGTGTGTGCAGAAGTGACGCTGACGTGAAGTTGCAGACGACGATTTTAAAGTTCAAGAGTTTCACGTCCTTTCAAAAGGCATACCCAAGCCACATACCACATCGCTTAAAGTTATAGTTTAGAAGTTACGGCCTAAGTGTATAATTTCCTTCTAAAGAATTATAGTGATTTTCGCCCAACTTTTCACCTGTGTAGAGTGAGAAAGAAATTAAAGGAAGTATGTTTAGGGTAGCAGGACTGCTGTTTCTCGACACTTAATTACCTCATAACTATCGTCGTCGGCATTCAAGATGGTGGTGTGTTTGGTCAGTTAGCGCAACCTATGGTAAAAGAATGAATGTTTCCACTGTTTATCACTTATACTTTTACAATATTGTCGCTGAAATAATGACAAACTGGGGCGTTTTATTTACCGTCATACGCGAGTATGAAAATGCAGGTTGGCCTTTCTATGGTCGCTGACCTTCCTACGTGAACCTTCGTTACTAATGAAACAAAAGAGGTTCGCAATCTGCGGTTGCACAGTAAACGACCGTCCTTACCTCTAAAAAATTGCCTCATTTTGATTGGCCAATTGGAATCGAGGTGCTGTAAAGTGTGCAGAAGGTGTTACATTGGTGCCGTGTCTACCAAATGTAAAAGAAAAAAACAACAACACGAACAACAACAAACAGCGGAATGGGGGGCGAAGGTGCACAATATTAGTGCTGCCGTAGTAAGTATACATGCGGTTAGGCCTTAGTGCCAGAACATTCCCCATGTGAGGTAAGGTGCTAGGTGTTAGTAGTAATGGCGGATACTGCAAGCACAGTCAATGTTCAACGCGTCGCGAGCTGCTGTCCCAAGCTCTTAAGTCAATCTGCCAAACCACGATGCAGAGTTAGTTGCTTGTAAAAAGTAAAAAAAAAAACCATCGGCACCAAGATTGCGTTGATTTATCTTTAGAGCATCTCTATCGGGCGAAGCAAAATTATAAATGCTTATGCAATGAGAAAATGTTAGTGGTGGTTTTATTGGTCTGCTCTGCAAGACGCTAGGTGAGTCTAGTCTAAACAAACATAAGGTTGTAATACCGTATCTGTGGCAATGTATACGTGTTCTTCAGGCAATCTTCGAATAGTGAGTAGTCATTTTTGCCACTGTTGGCTTGCAACGAGATTCCCCCGGGAAACATTTCACTGGCCTAAAAGGTAATCCCTTGGTTCCATAACAACCTTTGTCGGCTCTTTCGAAACTCTCCGGGAAAATGAAATATCTGAGGACGAATATATACACGCCCAATCATAAACGTTAGACTGCATCTGCCGTTTGCTTTACGAATGGCTACAGATGATTCGAACGAACCATGGTGGAAAGTATTGGTGGCACGAGAGTACGATTATTTTATTTTGCTGTTCAGTGGCAGTCATATTTTTTTGCTTAAGAAAAGCCGTAAGGCAGTGTTTTATTTTCTACACTCCATTTTGTTTTTCAGATGCGCTAGTAAGCACCTCACAATGATAGCCAAGAACCACGATAATATGAGATTTGTTATGGTACGATTTACGACTGACACACGAAAAGTTCAAGAACAGCATAACATTCTGACTTTAAATAATTATGCATTGTTTCGCACTACTGATATAGTGACGATCTATGTAGGGGGGGGGGGGGGGGGGACTCTTTGGCGTTGGCCATCTTTTATGGCTCTTTGGCTTTGGGTTTGGTATACCTTGCTCTCTGGTAGTTTTTCCGGTCGACTTTTTTTTCTTTGTGTGAGTGTGTGTGCGTGTCTGTGGGTGTGGGTGCGTGTGTGTCTGTGCGCGAGCACCTCTCTTTCTTAGTACCTCTAACTTTCAAGCTCACCTACCAATTTTCTTGGTGTTTTGAAAACAGCTCATCTAAACTTGCTAACAACCGTGCCTCTTTTCTCTCGCATGTTCTTTCTGTACACGCTGTTTAGAAAAATAAGCAGTAACCAGTGATCAGATGTATGTGCGCGTTCCGTTAGAGCTGTGTCATGCATTGGTACGGTGGCGCTCAGGACAGTAGGCCCTGCGTCTTGTGCGGCCGGCTAATGGACATTGGTGGTAGCACGAGGGAGTCTTGGGACAGTAGCTCGAAGTGTCTGTTTAACCACCTCCTCTGTGTCAGTGGCGGACTATGGGCGAGTGTCGTACGCACCGTCCTTGGCAGATACCGCGTTACCGCTGTCCATGTCGTAGCTCGATCCGGGCCAGTGAAGCTCCACGGCCAGTGTGTACAACCAGGCTCCAACAATGGCGCCAATGTGTGGGCCCACGATGGGCACCCAGAACCAGTTGTAGTCCCGGTAGCTGCACATCAAACGGTAAAAAAAAAATCTGTATCAGATAGGTGTTCCTATTCCCTCACCATAAACCTAATAGAGGGCAATCTGTCACGCTCAGAATTCTCCAAATGGATTCTTATCTCTCAAAGAGTTTCCTCAGTATATGTGCGAAAATGAATCCAACTTGCCCAGACTGCGGAGAAGTTAACTTATTGAAACACATGCTCTAGCGAAAGAATGGGTTGCAGGACTGCTATCAAGAAGCCTGCAACAACGTATACAGCTACTGACTGTCCGTAAGGGTCGTGAAAGGGCGAAGACGCTCGGCCTGCCCATCCTGACATGGTTCTAGCCAGGAGATTGGTGTATAAGCACCTCCTTTCCGGACCCCAAAAAAAAAGCATTTTCTCTCTCTCGTGCTCTTTTATTGCGGATACGATAAGCTGCCAAGCACTCACGTATAGTCATGAGGTTAACCTTATAGTAGGGAATACTACTCCGTCTGTTAACGAAAGAATGGGTCTGTACTGAGTAGCTCATTTTTCGTGAGCAACATCACGGAGCCAACAGATAGCGAAGTCTTCGTAAGGCGTGTTATTAGTGGCTTTTAAGCAAAGTGTAGAGATTATGACATCAAGGCAATATGAGATGAGGGGGGTAAAAAAATGCCCCCAACTCCCCATAGGGAATCGTGAGGGAATTTGAATGCATTTTTTTGCGCCTAGAGAGGGCACCGTTGCCTTCAGACATTCGCCTTAACCGACTTCTGCCATTGCCTTGAGAGGCGCCCAGCCAGCGAACGGTCGAGAGTGAGGAGCGAGCGGACGGGAGAGTGGGGCGCCAGCGTACTCGGCGCTGCGTTAGCGTTTCACAGTGGCTTCTCAAGCACACATTTCCGGATGTTACTGAGAGGCGCCCAGCCAGCGAACGGTTGGGAGTGAGGCGCGAGTGAACAAAAGAGTGGGGCACAGGGAGGAAAGAGAGTGAACGGCAAGAGAAGGAGCGGCGAAGCTTTGCCCCTAAAGCACGTAGGGGCTTTAACTGCACCTACCCTCTCCCAGATAAAGCCCTTAAGTTCTAGGGGCTTTACTCCTCTCTTAGACTCTCTCGCAGCACACGCTCCGCTTTTTAGGGGTGAGGATAAGCGCACGCAGCCGAAGCTGTTGCTATGGGGGAGGGAGTGAGAGCGCAGAAAGAACACCTGCCGCCGCCGGATGCCTGACATAGCCCGACTAAGAAATGCGTTCGCATTTAAAAGAACGTGCCGCAGGTGGGGACCAACTCAAAACCTTCGCACTAAGATTGTATTAATGAATTTGCGACGCCTTTCTGCACTGTTCTCCTACATTTCATTCCATTAGACAGTGTTTGAATAAGGGCCCCAAAAGTTTGGGGCCCAAAACTCTTCGCTCGTGCTTGACCCAAACCGTATGCACGCTTTTGGTCAAGCACGAGCGAAGAGTTTTCAAATAGGGTCGGCGGCGCTTTGGATACACACGCAATCCTTGGTCATGCCACTTCAATAGGTGCCATCACGCTTGTCTGACGCAAAGCTTTTGGGTCAGGCTTTGGGGCTCCGGCTAAATTTGAGGAATAGAGTCCCCAACCCGAAACCCAAATGCGGTTCAAGGCCACTGCGCATGCGCAAAACTCAAACGCTGTTTGGGTTTCGCACATGCGCAGTGACCTTGACGCCTTTGGAGTTCCTATTCTAAAACTCCCTATTATTTCATAGTCTTTTTTTTTCTTTCCCAAGTAGCCAACGCGAGTACTTCTCCAGCTAACCTCCTAGTCTATTCTTTGTTTTTTCTCTCTCTGTTTCAAGGCAACTGCAGTATTTTTTGTCTAGAGGACTCACGAAAAAGAAGAAAAAAGAGAGAGAAAGGAAGGAAGAAGGAAAAGGATCAGAGAGTTAGACAGGTAAGAAAAAGCTGAATTTCCATGTATTCGACAAACATAGTGGATGATTTCTCTCTATCAATTTTTTAAAAAGGCTTGCCACTTGAACTCAGCAAAGTTGTCGTCATTGCTGTTGGTCCCCATCACGTTAATTGAATGTCCTATCAAATAGACCAAACACCACATCTAAAGGTCGAACAGGAGTTTTTTTCTCACTGCGGAAATTTGAAATATGAGTTGTTTACTTAAAAAAAATATTATAGGCCACGTCAAAAGTGCCATACTAAGCAGACACTTTATGGACTCAAAATGGTATGTTGGGAGGGGCATCGGGGTCGCTATAGTGTAGCGATTTCTTTCCTGGTGCTGATAGTTTTTCCCGGTTTTCACTCTTCGTCACTGGTCGAAGTTACGCTCCGCTCACGATATCAGCTGGGTCACCCATCCCTGATTGATGGCTGATGAAAACGTCATTCAATCGAGCATATGACATAGCTATAAGATAGTGATCCTGGCGTCTTAAGGCTGACATCTCTGCTGATCAAGGGCTTAGGCAGAAATATTTTTGGTGGGGTAGGGACAGCACCTTTTTCATTTTGAATGGGGGCCGGGCAGGTAGATGTGATCAAATGTCATTTTGTGCTCTATATGCCATAAGAACAAAAAAAAATCGGGGGTGAGCTCGGGCCTGGTGAGCCGCCTCCGGTCCACGCCACAACCGGGGATCTGCTAATGTTGCTTCACTTCTCCCACGATGTGTCTGCTCTCCCCTCACCTTATACAAGGGTGGAGGAAGACGTGCTTAGGAGGCTTCCGGCAGAGGTGGCCCTTACACCGGCTGTTATATCATCACGGAACTGGTCGCATTTAGAAGTTGGTGATATGCGCCCATATTGTACCACTCCAGTGATGCAAGCAGATGCATACCACCTTACATGGGCATGCCAAGGGTTACAGTCGGAACGCTCCCGTCACCTCCTGCAAGCTGGCCTTCGCTACAGCGGCAAAACCAGTTACGACCGCTTAATACATGACAACACATTCCACAAAACACTACTTCATTCCATACACAACTGTAGCTATGACTTTCTCAAATAAAAAACAGCCTCTCAGTTTCAGTTATAACTTCAATGGGTCCACCCTAGCACATGTGAGTGAATTCAAATACCTAGGCATCACCTTTACGCATGACCTTAAATGGGGCAAACATGTTGATCAGATAACTTGTCAAGCTCTAAGGAAACTTGGTTACTTAAAGCGAAGATTGAAAAACTCGACAAAAGATTGTAAGTTAACTGCCTACAAGACACTAGTGAGACCGATGCTCGAGTACGCCTCTGTGGTTTGGTCGCCTCATCTTGAGCAAGATAAAAACAGGTTAGAATCTGTGCAGAATAAGTCTATACGGTTCGTTTTTAACCGTTATGATCGGGACTTCTCCCCGTCTTCACATGCTCATTTGTTGTCACTTCATTCAATGGAACACCGCCGTACATGTGAGAGTATTATCTTGTTGAACAAGATTGTACACAAAATGACCCGCGTTCACACGCCCTTATCTTTCGCTGATATACCAGCGCGTACAACACGTAGTACAGACGCTTTGAACCTTGTACCCTTCAGGTCTCGTTTGGATTGTTTCAAATTCTCTTTTTTTCCGCGTGTGGTGGAAGTTTGGAACAAGCTTGATGGTGCATTGCGTAGAATGAACACTGTGGAGTTCGGAAAACATTTTATGTGTTAGTCACATAAATTTGTGCGCACTACTGTTTGCTTCTGTGCTTTCGCTGATTTTTCTGTACCCGCTCCTGCAATGTCCCAGGCATGGGACAGCAGTATTTGTAAATAAATAAATAAACACTGGCCTAACGGTGCACATTTAATACACATACATGAACGTAAGCCATAAGGGCAAGTTTATGTTGCAAAAATCCTACAAAAAGAGAATGTTTCTTTATAACACCTCTATTTGAGATATTTGGTACCAAGTGTAATGAAGTTTCGCTGAGCGAGAATTATGAAGTACTAAAAAAGAGAATACGACAAGAATGTACGCTAACTTTCAAGTGTTGTAAGTTGAAACTTCGCGCACATACCTCATTATGTTATAGTGCGAAAAGAACAAGAAAAAAAATTGCCCGCAGCTTCCCTCGGGGGAACACTGAGGAGGATGCGGACCATATAATTGGTTAACGGGGTGTTAAAGTGCGACTTACTTGGGTCGATGGCTAAATTGGTTAACGTGGTTGTGAAATGGGGTGTTAAATTGCGACTTACTTGGGTCGATGGCTAAATTGGTTAACGTGGTTGTAGGAGGGGGTGTTAAATGAGTGAACACGTACACACGTATGCGAAAGGGCGGCGCTGGTCGAAGGGACGTCGATCATTGTGTTTGTGGATTCGTTGGAATTCATTTCACCGTGACCTTGGACGTCGACGCGCCGTACAAACCAACCGACGAGCGGCAACTGAGCGAGCGAGCGCCGACCTTGAGTATATATACAGCGCGACGGCGCATGCACTGTCAGCTGTTGAATGTTCTCGAAGCGCGACGCCACATGCGCGTCCACTGGAGAATCAGGAGAATTGTAGATGTCGAACGCGGTGTGTAGAGGAGGAAGGGTGCACAGATGGTGGAGGAGTGAAGCGCGCGCGGTGTGTAGAGGAGGAAGGGATGCACAGATGGTGCAAGAGTGGGCGACGGCGCGACGGCGCATGCGCGCGCGTCAGCTGTCGAATGTTCGAGAAGCGGTGCGGACGGCGCACTACAAGGCGCGAGTATAAGATGCTCCGCATCTAAAAGTCGTTAGGTAAACATAAGACAGGACACAGCGCTCACTATCACCTGATTTTTTTTTCATTCAGCCAATGGATTTATAAAGTAAACGTGGAGCCTGCGCGTCTGCGCACAGTTAACTACGACCCACATGATGCAATTTTTTTCGTAAAATCGGAAATTTAGAACTGGATCTCACGTGTATGTCCCTACGTATACGCAATTCATTGAAAGAAGTGTCATTTTGCTGTCACGGAGGGTGATAGCCAGATATTTCAAATATTTACAGTGCTCTTTGTTAGTCTGACAGGGTCTGGTGGCTATGGTGCTAGACTGGTGACCCAAGGTTGCGGTTTCAAATTAGGGCCACAACGGCCACATTTTAATGGAAGATAAATGCGAGAGGCCAGCGCACGTAGGACTAAGTGCACATTAGAGGTGGTCAAAGTTTTTGTAGCTCTTCACCATGGAGTCCTTTATGATCATACGTTTTTGCGAGGTAAATCCCGACCAGTAATGATTAGTATACTGTCTCCTTCAGCGCAAATACACTAAAATGTTGCTTGGCCTTCAATGCTGAGGCGCAGCCTTCGCGAATATTTAGGAAGAGGCCCAGAAGAACACGCGCTTACCTGAATACCTCAACTCCCCATCCGGCCATGGCAGTGAAGACTCTGGGTCCCAGGTCTCTCGCGGGGTTCAGAGGTGCACCGCAGTTGTAGCCGAAGCAGAGAATGATCGCACCCAAAGCGAGGCCGATGAACAGCGGCTGGACGCCCTGTGGCACCGCCATGTTTCGCGAGTCCGTGATGGCCAGGATGGCGAGCACCAACAGCGCGGTGCCCACGATCTGCGCGGAAGAAAACACCATAGGATCAAACTGGCATGTAGTCTTGCGAAAACGAGTCGCAATGGCATTGCTTTTCCTTGCCCTACATCGGCGTATAAGGCGAATTTAGTCAAGTTGAATAACAGCAGTGGGCCTTATGGCTCTTACACAGCTGTGGCTATAGATACCTGCAACATGTGATACCCCTCTACTGTTACAGTAAACAGAACTCGCCAATACGCTTCTTCTCAGAAGCGTACACATAGTGCTTTCAATCGCTTTGTTGCACAAAAATATACCATACTTATGCGCACAATTTGCGCCCTTGCATAATTTACGCACCCCAAACATTTTGCCAGCTTTTGGAAAAAAAAATGGCCCCGTGTCTGCATGTTACACTGCAAATGTCATCGAAAGACGATAGTCTTGCGTCTGGAGAGAGTGAACAAAACGTTTATTTGATATTCTGCGCAAGAAAATTTGTGAATGGTACTCTGGAGGCGCTGCGTTAGAGTGCCTCAAGCGTGCAGCGGAGGCGAACGAGCGCATCAAGTCACGTCACACGTGAGACGTATCTTGGAAAACGAAGTGCGTGGCGTGCGCGCCAGCCTCGGAGGTGATAAGGTGTAGAACACAAGGTGACGGGTAGGTGCCACCACCGTGTCGTCTTAGCAGAGCGTTGGAAACACTTGCCTTTTCGTGCAAGCGTTGCAGGGTCAGCGCAACGTGATAAGCGTTGCAGGGTCAGCGCAACGTGAGCGCAACGAGACAGACTGGGAGAGACAGACTGGGAGAGACAGACTGGGAGAGACAGACTGGGAGAGACAGACTGGGAGAGACAGACTGGGAGAGACAGACTGGGAGAGACAGACAGAGAGAGACAGACAGAAAAAGAAAGACAGAGAGAGAAAGACAGAGAGAGAAAGACAGAGAGAGAAAGACAGACAGACAGACAGACAGACAGACAGACAGACAGACAGACAGACAGACAGAGAGAGAGAGGCAGACAGAGACAGACAGACAGAGACAGACAGACAGAGACAGACAGACCAAAGTTTATGCATCGAAGGTCCCCAAGAAAGACCACCGTCTTTAAAAAAGTTTATTCGCATATTTCGCCCCCCCCCCCCCACCCGAGCCAACTCGCTGGCGCACCCACCTTTGGACATTTCGATGCTTCAACAGGGTGCGTGCCTCGCCGAGCAGGCGAGTGCAGTCAAGCAGGCTGCTAGTGCGTAGTCCCTTCTTACGAGGACTTCGCCCGAACTAGGGTCTCTAGAATACCACACCGAAACACAAACCTGTTGACGGGTCACCAAAGCTGCTCGAGCGTTTGCTTCACCCTATCTCCCAATCCCTACCACCACGAGAATGCACACTCGCGTTATGGCACGGACGACTTTCTGCATCGCAGGCGTGCGAGGGCCCGTCGCGCCGACTTTCCCCTCGTTCTCTGCGTCCGCAAGCGAATGCGTGGCAGAGTTGTGGCGGTATCGCGCGAATATTGCATAATTAGGTATGTTTTTAAGAATAATTATTTGTTATTCCATTCGGATTTATATTCTATTGAATGAAGGAGAAGCGTTGCCTCCAACGAGTGGTGGGACGCTGAGGTGCGATACAGTGCCTACATATGCGGAGTGGCCCGGGAACGGTTGTGCAGCTCGAGCAGTCGGTTTTACTAGCAGACGCTGCTTGAGTCGGCCTTGCGAGGCAAGAGAGGGAGGGGAGCAGACAGTTGGCACGGGACGCAAGCATGCGGCATGATTCGCGAGGCGCGAGAATGCGCAGTGGGGTGTGGACATTGCCGCCGACGCGTGACATCGTGCGACTAAGAAATGCGCCGCATTTAAAACAGACAAAACACAAAGATACAAGTATACATTGATATCTGAAGTCCTTAAACCTACAGTAGCGACATCACAGGTAGTTCTCGCAAATGCGGTGTTTTCACATAGATTTAGAGCGATGGCTTGTTTTGGCTACTCCTTTTATGGACGTCGGCCGAGGCTAACGCGACACCGAGTGAGCAGTGTCACATGAACCGTTTCTTACCTGGTCAACAAGGCCATTGCCAGTGCTGACGAATTCTTGAGGATAGGAGGCGAATATTCCCGCGGTAGCATTTGCTCCCGTCACAGCCCGTACTCCACCGTCGTAGTTGTCCAGTGCACCTGCAGGAGGTGCGCTTCGCGTTCATGAATGAGGAATGCACTCCAGTTGACTTGTTCGTGGCACTTAGTCTACATACATTACACAAAGGATTATACTTCAGTTTATCGAATCCCGACAACCTTATTCACTATCCACTTACTCTCTAAACCGCATTGAGCACATTGAGTAGCGTACTCTGCGAGTTCAGGTCTGCACATGGCTTGCACTGACGTCACCGAAACAGTGACGTGGGGCACCAACATGGTGGTACGCGAACTGTGTGATGTGACGTTAATGTTACCAGTACATGCCATGCTGTTTCATTCGCTATTCGTGCACATAGGCCAAATAAAGTTCAAGTGACGTATTTATAAACGGATGCGTATTTATCACCACGAATTTATACTGTCTTCAAGTCAACTAAGCCGTCATGTTGGAGTCGTTATGTGCGTTCATTATGTCACGTGAAAGCTGTTAGTATGCACCATGTAAAATGCACACGAAAACTACTCGTAGCGCGGCGCTACACGCCATTGCTGTGGGCCATTTTTGATTCCTTATTATTCGCACGGTTCCCTAGTGCAAAAGGTATCTTTCTTGACCTGCCTTTCCTTTCGCTGCCTTTCCTTGCATCTCTCTCTTTCTCTGTCTTGACTCATGCGAATAGATATGTAATGTATGTCTATCACTCTTGTAATTAGATAGCAGTGCTCCATGTTTGGGATAGGGAACCACCAAATGACAGAAATGTCTGACTTCTAGCATAGTGCTTCGTCCATTCTGCAATTTAAAGCTTTTGGAGGAGTTACGTAATAACATACTGCACTTGTAGCTATCATTATTATCCTACTGAGAGCAAACCAACTAATCAGATTTGTATGACGCATACATATCCAGCAATCTGAGACATTACTAGTGCGGCAAAGCCGACCCCAAGAGGAAGCACTGGGCGTAACGCTATGGGGAGCGTTCGTCAAAAATGATGACTAAGCAATGCCTGATTTTTCGCTGATTGCACTTCAGGCACTTAATGCTGACAACATCCTTATGCTGTAAACGTGATTAGCTTTAATTCGCCGGTTGTATTTTTTTCCCGGTACACTTTTGTGTATCCGTTGAAAATATATGGGGTGATTTTTGAAAAGCTAATTGTGGCGCAACGATAAGTTATTCGCTAATTGCTCTGTATTAACATGTACGGTAGGGCAACTTGTTTTTGTGCTAGCAATTTCATGGTATTACGGTGGGTAATTTTTTTTCCTGAAGAGCTTTCTCAAATCCATAGTGCAGGAAAGCAGCATTACAGGGGTAAAAGAATCACCTGTCGGTGAATCGATGAGAAAGTGGACGTTGATCGCGGTAAAACCTCAGCCAAAGTGTGCAGATATGATGTACATTATGATGTACAGTATGAAGGTCTGTACACCAAGTGGTGCGAAAAACGGCGAACTAAAAGCGATGTCTCGAATTGCTGGGAATAGAAGCAGCAGTGCCCAACAGTAACTTGTTCTCTTCATTCTTTGAAGGCTTCACACTGCCAGTTAGCCAAGGATGACAGAGACGAGAGGCATTGTAAATGCGCTCACCCTTTCTACTTGCGTTTCAGCAAGAGATGTTACATTTATAACTATGACGTCATTGAGAAGGCTTTATTCTTTAAAGGGACACTAAAGGCAACTATTACGTTGACGTTGATTGTTCAAATAGCAGTCCAGAAACCTGGTAGTCTTACTTATGTGCCAAGGATCCGCTTATATTGAAATGAAATCGCGTTTTAGTGGTCCGGTTGCATTAGGTTAGCGCACTTCATATCCCGCCAACAAGCGGACCGAGTCACGTCACTGTTGCCGTGCACAATTTCGCCCGGCTTCACTGCGTGGTCGCCGACACTAGTAGACAGAACGAAAGTAGCGGGATCCACAGCAGCAAAAACGGCCAGTGATCAATTTTCTGCCGTTGGCTCCGCGATGGCAGACGAGTTTCGGTTCAACTGCACCCCGCTAGATGGCCCGACCTGTCCAGTTTAACCAAGCGAAAATTGAATTTTTCAACGACTCGTGCCATTCCCCATAGCAACATCCGGCGCTTATTTTTTCAATGAATCAACCGAGACAAACAAGCAGCATTTTATTGTCTGTCTTGATGCACAGAAGTTTTTTATTTAGTGTAGCTAGATTGATTTTCTAGGGATTAACTGTAGGTGGTTCGTCTGACGTCATCTGCATCATTTTGAGAATGTTCTGCTGAGGCGTATGTAGTTTTATGTATTTACCCTAATTTCTCAGTTAGGGGCGCGCTGATGTTGTTAATATTGTCGTTTAAGATGCTGTCATACATTGAGCTTCTACTCTGACGTAAATCGTTATTTGACTTTAGTGTCCCTTTAACGTCAAGCAGGCTGCCATTCAGTATGTTAGGGGGGCTAAATGAAGGTGTAGATGCTGTCCTCGTGGTATTGACTTTCGTTGATTGCTGATATCTCTGCGCTGTATCAAAGATACCATTTTCACAAACCATATTCGGAGCCATTATGAGTCAGAATTTAAATTGGAACAGCACTGTTGACACGATTGTTTCGTAAATAGGGGCGTAACCAGCTGTATACGAGCCGCATACGGGTGAAAAAAAGTAGGACATGCGAAAGACCCCGAACAGGAGACAGAATGTCATTGTGCTTTGTATCTCGTTCCAATTTCACCTTCGATGCGGGCTCGTCCAGCTGCTTTCAGACGGACCAAGAAAGATGGGACGCGAAACTGAGGGTCCACAGTGCTTCGAAGGAACTACGCGCGCACGCTTATAGCGCGTTCAGTCCAGATGTCGCAGGACCCGAGTAGTTTCGGGCCCAATGCGTGCTTGGGTGAGTGATGAGGGCCATTGTTGTGAAGACGAGCAAAAAACTTAAAATAGTGCGAGCCCAAACAAATGCGGCTTTTCTCTTCCACAGCTGTTCGCGTTTTCGCAAGGCTCCCAAGTTGGAGAACCTTAGTACGCGAGAGAACTGCACTCAAGTGCAATCACGCCTTGTACGACATGCAACACGCTGGTCATGGTCAGAGCGGCGCCAATACTGCATGGTAGCGCCAGGATAGAAAATAATGACTGATCTAAACATGCTTTAGACTATTGTCTTCTTTTTCAATTACGATTTCCCGTTTGCATATTTGAAGGCCTGCGGACCCTTCAACTCTGGCCGCCGCGTTGCAACTCTCATTGAGCACCATTGTACTTTCACGATGGTAAAATTCATAAACAAGGGGCGTTTGCTCGAGCCGGCGTTTCTACAAGTGGACTAGTCTTCTTCAAGGCTGGAACAGTTTCAGTCTTGAAGAATAAGCCTCCAGAGTATGGCAGGGACGAATACCACTCACCCACTCACTCAATCAATCAATCACTCACTCACTCACTCACTCACTCACTCACTCACTCACTCACTCACACCCACTCACTCACTCAACTGGAACCGTAGAAATGTGCTCACCGCGATAAGTGATGAACAGTATAACGGAGGCGAGGAATGCCCCGATGTACTGTGCCACCATGTACGGCACGATCTTCCGCCACGGGAACTTGCCCACCGTGGTCACGGCGACCGTGATGGCGGGGTTCAGGTGCGCTCCTGCGAAAATCCGTGTCAGCAAGACGCCTTTATTTATGTCGTCTCAAAGCCTTCCTTCCTGGCAATGGTCAGCATGGATCCATAAACTCTTGTAAACCGTCAAGACCTAAAAAAGTGTCGTTCTAAATTCGCTATAGAGAGTACTTTCAATTACCTTGTGAAAACATTTCAGACTAGCGAAAGTAGTCAGGTGCTTCTAGCTGCGTCTCTCGTGAGCCAGTTTTACTCTAGAGTGTTATATACCGTGAGTCAATCAAGGGTATATCTATGTATCGGCTCTTTCTGTGGTCTTACAAAACTCAATTAAGCGCATGGCATGGCACATGTGCTCATGGCCGTTATTACTTGTAACGAGATTCAGCCAACTGTTCTTGCGAGCACACTTTACCTGGCGAAGACTCAAAAGCTCGTGCCGTAATCAAAGGCCTTCAGTTCGAAAGCATAGGGCCTATAGGCTATTGCCTCATCGTTACAAATGGTTCGGCCTTGACGTTAGTCGGTTGGTACCACGAACGTCTGTTATATGCGTTGCGTTGATGGAAACGACCCATCTTGAAAGCATATATATATATATATATATATATATATATATATATATATATATATATATATATATATATATATATATATATATATATATATATATATATATATATATATATATATATATATATATATATATATATATATTATTGCGGACCGTTAGAGTAGAATTACATTACGCCATTCTTGTACTTTTCTCGTCAAGCCTGCTAAAGACATTCTTTTTGCATGTCAACTTTTGAAATTTCTATATAGTGGTGTAGCAGGTTAACCGGGATCCTAAAAATTGTTAAAACGGGGCACTTTCATTATGACAGGAGTAGAAATAGCTTCAGGATAGTCAGACATTATAGGACAGTCTGAAACTGAAACGTTGAATGCCTTTAGTATATGTCTTAGTGTCAGAGCATTGCCTTTTCATGTGAAATCAATATCGATAGCGTACGCTGTATGCAGCTTGTTCCTAAAGTATACCACTACATTTATGGCAATCTAAACCAAGGCCAAGAAACAAATATTCGCTGATACTTGTTATATAACAGCTTAAATCGTCATGGTTTTGCGCCATCAGCTTTACGAATAGCGTGAAATAAGGAAAGACGTGGGGAGGAATACTTGGACGTTTACAGAGCTGTCGGCCCGTATAGTTAACCTTAACAAAAAAGCCCTCCCGTCATGTTTAACGCGAGACATACTGCGCTTTCGTTCGGCAGATATGAAGCGCTTTCGGGTTGGGTTGCTGCGATGATCGCACCTCTTGGCACAAGCTCCCGACAGTCATGTCAACGCATGTCAGCTGCCTTGTTCCGCATGGAAGTCGTTTTCTTTTGGTCGTATTGACGGGTGTGTACAGAATCCCGTGAGAAATGCCAGTGGAGCATTATCGAAAGCTTTGCGTTCGTAAGTTGTCGCTGCCATTGGCCGGCATGGCTTCCCCAATGATATATCGGGCACATTCCTATTGGCCAAAAATTTTTCTTACGATCGCGATCACATGTTGCGTAAGGAATAAAGCGCCAACAGTGTGAGCACGAGAAGTCCCAGAAACGAGCGGGTACTTACGACCGATTATTTCTTGAAAGAAACACGCACATATTATACAGGCTCAAATTTGTCAGCGCTAAGCGCATGTATTCGAAAGTCGCATGCCGTGGTACATAAAGGGAATAAAAAAATGTATCTGATTACGTAACTCGAATAAAAACGACGGTTTTACGATTTATGACACGTATAATGTACATTACCGAAATAACACAAAAAAGATGCATATTCATCGGTTTTGTTGTCGAAATCTTCATAACTGCATGTGAATGTTGAACACGTGTGGATAGCACTGCGGAATTCGGGCCATTTTTTTCTTGTTTCTTTCAATAAAAAAATGTCTGCCTTTCCTATCTTTCCTGGTTCTTTCTTCAATAAAGAATGTGTTGTCAGTCAGCGCCTGTCCATGTTCCTTGTGTTCGTCTCGTTGGGGCTCCATTCATACGTAACCAGCAAGAAGTTTTGCATTATCTTTTGGCATTGCTAGATAGTCGCGTTATAACAAAGAAAGCCATTTTCAAGTTAGCGCTTGAGTTTCTCTTTTTTGCGCACTGTTCTGGTGTGTAAATCATGAATAGACGACCATCCCGAAGTCCTACTTTGTGAAGTCCTTACGAAGAATTGGTAGCGTACGATGCTTCTGTAAATGTTCGTCCTGCGTAAACCACCAGATAGTCTCGGCTGCAGAGGCTTCATTCTCGATGGAGGTGAAAATGCCGGAGACCCTTGTACTTACATTAAGGTCCTCGTTTAAAAAACTCCATGTGGTCGAACTTTTCAGAGCCCTTCCACAGCATCTTTCATAACCATATCGCAATTTCGGGACGTTAAACCCCAATGGTTATCAGTAGCCCGCCGTATGCCATTTCTAGCGTCGTTTTCAATATACGAAGAGTCCACCTCCGTACATGTGTCAGGAATGTAAATAGTACCGATAGACGCTCACCGGATACTCCACCGGCGACCAGCACACCAAGCGTCAGCGCCAGCGCCCATCCCCAGAAGGCAGCAGCGTAGCCCAAATTTGGAGGCCGGTCAAAAGTCACTATCGCCAGCACTGTGTTGCCGAACAACTGCGAAGGGGAAAAAAAGAGACAGACAACAGATTACGCATCCACGTGTCTCACGCAATTACAAATTCCGAGGTTTATCAGCATGACACTCGGCTGTCCAACAGCCTCTCTGAATGCTACCCGTTCGCAGCCTCGCTACGCCATAAACCATAATGGTAAGAAGGTGATGCAAGGATTGGCACTGGTTTTGAAATCGACAGGGCTAAGCGATCGCTTCTCGCGTAGAATGAACGGGTGCACCCGTCCCATACTGAAAGCACCTTAATTGCTGTTATTTTTTTATTCCCTTTTTTCTTTTCTCTCAGATAAGGGTAGCCGAACAGGTTCGCATCTAGTAGACCTTCCTTCGTTTCCCTCATTTCCTCCTACTGCTTCTTCTTCAACGACGCAAGAATCTAGAGCATAACAGTGCGTTGCTTCCCCTCTAGCTTCCTTGAGAATCTTTACAAATAGGAGTGTGTACGTCTAAATCAAGCAAGAGGTGGAAGGTTTTACGTAATATATCGCAAAAACTCCCAAACAAGCACGGGATGTTATCTAGCTTTAGGTATACATCAATAACCTGCAGGTGTACGGCGCGCGAGTTTACAGGACGTCCCGAATCGTATACAGCGGCATGAAACAGTACCACATATTCGATAGATAGATTCAGCGTCTCACGTCGACAACCTCCGAAACAACACGTGTCATAAACGAACTAAAAAAAATCACAGCACATCCACGGAGCGAATGATGATGAGTAGGGCGAAGCGTCCACCAGTCCATCCGTGCTTCTGTCCGTCCGTTCGTTCTTGCTTCCGTCCGTCCGCGCGACCATCCATGCGTCCATCCATGCGTCCGTCCGTCTGTCCATGCGACCGTTCGTTAGTGCGTCCATGTCCGTCCATCGGTCCGTCCATCTGCTAGTTTGTCTGTCCATGCGTCCATGCGTGCGTCAATCTAGTGAACACTCCAAGTACCACCATGTCCCGTCTTGCATCCCCTCTGGCACATTCCCGCTCTAGAGCAGGTATGTACCACTGGTGGCTACTAACTACTACATACAACGGAGGATGTACAGATCCACGCCTTAAGGAGCTTCGTATCTAAAATATCGGGACACTACAGCACATACGAGTGAGGTGGAAAAGAGTGCACACCCGCATGTTGTGACAGTGACCGTTATCGCAGCTTGACCTTCAGTTCAGCGCGAAAATTAATTCACTGTTGGTCGCACAGCCTGAAGGAGGTGACTGAACAACTGTGTCTAGCGGCCTACTATACGTATACAGGCGAAAACATCATGAATATTGAAAATTGGGGACATTTCAGCCCCGTAGCCTTCGTCTTACCAGCTTGAATTTACCATATAGATTTGGATCACACTGTCACTTATTGTTCTAACCACTGAGAAATATTACCGCGTTGACTGCAAACTTGGGACGGTGAGCATGCATACAGCCGCGTATATATAGGACGGAGGTTATCATCCGTGCCTTAGCACTTCTCGAATTAGAGGCAATCGCTCACACGAATCACATTCAGCGCACGTTCGCGAGATAATAACATTAGAAAATTAAAAATATTAGCTTAACCTCGGCATAGATCCGCCTTTCATGTGCTGCGCAGTCGGCGTTCAACAGAAACAATCAACACCGTCAACCATGTACACATTGGCAAGTACGTGAGAACACAAAGACGTATATATACCGGTCGCTCTTTTCTGACGTCTCAATACGCTAGCTTTATTTTTTTTTTATTCTCCTGATAAGCACATTAGGCTGGCTTCGCTACTGTTTGCAAGCATGAATCTATCACACGAACAGGCTTAGCTGGGGCGTTCAATTAAGCGCCGTGCCTTTATGTTCACTTTGGCCAATATTTGCGCGGCGAAGTGAGAGGACTGTAGACGTCGGCTTTCGTATATATAAGGCATTCGGGCACCCACTGTGCTAAAGCCGCCGCTCTCATGAATATTAATTCACGGCGCCTATACTTGCATGGAACAATCGTGCGTTCATAAATTGCCGGGCAATTCATCTCTCACTTTCTCCCGAACGCATGCCGTGATATGGTCTTTCTTTTTTTTCCCCAACTTTTTGGACCCGCGTTTGCTTGCGCTCTTACAGGTCTGCAGCAGGCAAGCAGGGACACTATTAGTGACTCGAAGCGAACGTGCACAAGTCATGGGACCACAACTACACGTGCGTATGTCTGGCGTCCGTCCGTGTGCGCATGCGCACGCGCTGCCGAGTATAAATAAGCGAATGAGCATCGATTATACGTACATACACCCGCGTGCGCGTATACGTGCCGTTCAAGGTTCTGTAATTGAAAAATGAGACCGCTATTAAAACCGCGCCGCGCTCTTGCGGTCATGGCAGTACGTTCTCCCGTCTCCCGTGCACACGTTTCACGCATGCGTATCATAATTAGGTACATACAAAAGTATACACACATAACAGCTTGCCGATGCCGGAGCCATCAAGATGTGTGCTGCCGATTAGGTGGCAGAATTAACGCTGCCCTATACAACGCGCAAGGCTGTATCCCCCCGAAAGATGGAGTGATCACCGCCCGCCCATGGCCCACGTGCTATCAAGACAGACTGTGGGAAACAATACGCATTAAATGCGTGCGCGCGCGCGTGTGCGTGCATACGTATGCACACGTTGGGAATGAACGAAGGATAGTAAGAGTATGTGCACGCTGTTCGCAACTCAAATGAACCAGAGAGGGCGCTGCGGAGTTGCAGCATGGCGGATTCACGGAGGTCACCACGTCCGCTGTCGCTAATACAAATATTCAGTTTTCTGCAGAGTGATTGCAGTTCGCGCTGCTTCGTAGAAGGGAAGTGGGTTGTTGACGCGGAGCATCTTATTTTAGTCGGCACCAGTGGTCCCACAAGCGCGAGCGGCGTTCCTGAAGTGGTCGTATTGGGTGTGTAATGCACACGGCGCACCGCGTCTCTGCGAAATTTTGTTTACATACTTCGGGCGCCGCAGCGACACGTAGTCACTGGATACGATGGTCATTTAATAAGTTCGAGTGAACAAGTTAACACTGGTGCCTCGCCTGGAAAGAAGGAATCTGCTTGGCCGTTCGTTTTTTTTCTTCACGGGCGCCACCACCCTACCATGCTCCTACCTACGACTGGCGCTTGGATTGTTTGGACCTCAGTACGCAGCTTCCCTATATTGCCGCTAGGTGGCGCATAAATTGCTGGAGTCACGAATACCTGTGTATGCTCGACGGCTTCCTTCAGGAATTCGTGCCTCCGAGCCAAGAAATGTCACAGGGGCTCCTACAGGGTTTCTCCGTGGTGACGAAGGACCCATTGTCTGGTGTCGGCGCTAAGATATCACGCGTTTCACCACGCGCCCTGGCGTCGTTGTTTTTGGTATTGTTGTTATTGTCCGTTTTTTTCTTTTGTCGTTTACAATTTGCTTTAGGTAAAGTTGTTTACGCACTGTCTTCCGTGACTCAGTGATCCTCGAATGGGCGCCAGGCCAAACTGGGATATTTATGACTCAATCATTCTTCACGCAAGCAGGCACCTTGACAGGCGCTTTAAGATAGCAAAACCTTATGATGCTAAGTGGTGACGTGATGCTTAGTGATGACATGACAGCCATCGTGCTTAGAAAAGCTTTGATTACTCAGCAAGAGAAACTAGAAGGGATGTTAGACGTCGTCTTATTATTCTATAGGTTCTTATTTGTCCCGGAACATGTCATGGATGTTCCATGTGCATATCAAACCGTGTTAACATTTCAAATCAGATAAACTACATGTCTCTTTTTTTTTTACTGGCAAAATTCGAGTGGACTGGCATTATATCCTGAGAAAACGTGTGTGTGTGGGTGGGGGGGGGGGAGGTGTTGCAAAGCGAAATCTAAATGTGTGTCTGACTCGTTTATTTTCCAACAAGCTTTAAAAACTTCACCTGATACAATTGTAATTACACACCTTGTCGGCAGTGTAATACTGACTCATTTATCAATTTTAATGAAGTCACAAAACCTAAAACTAAACGTTCGCAAAATAAATTTTACTATAGTTGAATCTCTCAGTCTGGACTTCCGGGTTAGGATAACTTCTAAACATGAGTTCAAATATCGGTCCGAAATGCCGTAGCGTTCTATTTTTTTTCTCGAGCGTCAAGCACTCCTGCTCCGATGTCTCCCACACACGTAAATAATTCGCTTTCTACACTTTCCACATTAACAGCAGCAGCTTTTCGATGTTGATTAAGAGACCGCCAAAAATGCAAATTCACAAAAGAGTCGTGCCGAGCAACGCGTGAGGCCGACTCCATTAGAGTTGTACATCGCTTGACGGTTGGCATTCATTGGTTGTTTTTTTTTTCTCCTCCTTTCTTCCCATCAACCGTGGCTACCGAACAATTTCTATCAAGCGGGCACGTGCTCAAGTGCGGAGGCAGTGGTGCCCAATTCAGCCGCGTACGGGGCTGTAAGTGAAATCTGTGCAGCGACCCGATCGAAGCACCAGTTTGAGAAACCGGTCACGTTCCTGTGTATCCGCCGAAACCCATGAGGCACCACCATTAGACAATAATCGAGGGGGATGCGAAAGTATACATAAAGGGCCCAGTGAAGCACGCATATATGTAGATAGCCTTAAGCTTCCACATATGAGGCTACTCAAAACAGGCGAAGTACCCTCCTCCGCCTCCTCCTTATTCGCCGACGTAGCCTTGCAGGTATCTCTGCAGGCTGTCATGAGCTATATCAGAACACGCGCTAACATCGCTAGCACGATGTGTGTTGTACGCATATGTGGGTAGCCTCTCGTACGTACGAAATTGGCGACGCGCAAAAGCGGGCTCCGCTCTTTTAAAAGCGTGCCCCCGTATAATGACAGAGTCCACGCTTCCCGCTGGGGTCGCACGGCCGTTGTAATTGCACTGAAAGCAGTTATGACCGTGCGCGTGATTTACGTCCAGATTAGCATTCATTTGCCTGCCAGGTCCGCACGGTCTTGCTTGGCCGTTGGCTGCT